TTAATGCTAGCTGCCAATTTACACTTTGCTGGGGCTAAAACTCATTTTTAGTTTCACTTCCCTGGAAAACGTGCTCTCTGCTCTTGCTTGATAGATGCATTTTGACAGTTAATACAGGTTTACCCAGTCAGGGCTTGTTTTAGTTGAAGGTGAAAATGGAAGAGGGGAGAAAAACCCAAACCAAAAACCAGCCTACTCCGACAGATGTCTGTATTTCTCTTTTTATTGCATTCGTTGTCTAACAACAATAATACTCATTGGCAAGAAATTTATTTACACTGACAAATTTAATCACAGGTATTTCTGGATTGGTCAGAAAACAGAGGATCATGGTGATAGTTTGCTTCAAATTCCTCTGAAAACCAAAGAGTAAGAAATGTCGCTTGAAACAGAACAATCTAGAGAAGTACATATTAACCAAGCACAAGAGAACAATTCAGACGTGGCACTATTGTCTCTTCCATGCAAATGATCAGACACCGAAATGTACAAATTAAAAGTTTCAGATAACATGCTATCCATACTTATTGGACTTAAAAAGGTTTTTCAAACAACTCTTTTCCTTTAGTGATACATAAAGAAAAGTTAAAATAAATCAACTTCTTACGACGGAACAGAATTCATTCTCTTGTTTCTTTTTCCAGCTGGCCGGGTTTGTTAGTGATACGTAGCAGGCGTGCTTGTGGTTTAATCACACCACCATTAAAAAATACAAAAGCAGTAGGGGCGACCATAAATTATATTAAGGAAAACATATATAGATAAAGATAGATAATTTGAGGGGTTTCACAAAACACTAACTAAATCTGATGTTGTTGGGAGGTGTGATCTAGCTGGAGTGCCTATTAGTTCCCACTTTTCAAGGTAATTTAACTCTTCATGGCCAATTGTTCTTTCACGGGTGAAAGATTTAAATCCTTTAAAGAAAACCTGGGTGTGTGGATACAACAGCTGAAAGCAAGAGAAGTGGACACCTTCCAACAACATACTCACGCTCACAGCCGCTCGCATCGTTGTTTGGCACTGACCTAACCATGCCGTCACTCCACAGAAGAAGTAAATAAATGATCACGCGATGGCAACAGGGCCACCAGAGAGCCAGCAGGTAGTGACTGAAGCATCACAGCTACCAAGTAGGTCACTGGGGAGCACGAGTGAATGCACAAGAACACACGTGCAATTTTTAGCCAAGGAAACTGCGGTCCGCAGTTGAAAATGCCCAAAGCTGCATAAATTTCTGAGGTACGACTCAGCAATGTGCAATCTTGACATCAAAGCATTAACCAAACATTTGAAGAAACTTTATCTTACTAAAATACCAAGTATCTAATAAATCAATTTTACCAAAATATATAAACATGTAGAAGGATAAGTGCATTTAGTAGAAATACTTACATTAAAAAAATCTCTGAAAATCTTATGAGTCATTCAATGTACACACACACACACACACACACACACACGAAGTGGCAATAAGGCTATGATTACTGCTTGGGGTCCTAACTGACATGCCCAAGTTCCATATACAATATATGTATTTTTTATGCAGTGTCATTGCGGAGTGTGTGTGTGTGTAAGGTGGGAATATATTCACACATATGTAGTTCTGTACATCTACACACGCAGCATGCACGTTATCGAGAAGTTGCCTCTGGTTCTCTTAGGCATTACGTCCTATTCGTTCTCGAATCTCTAGCACTTTTGGGGTTGGGGTAGGGCCAAGGACTGGAAATCATCCCGTTTCCGTCCTTCCCCGGTCCGTAGGTCCAGAAGCAGGTCACATGCTGTGATTGGTCCACACTGCGTACGTACGTGAGCTTCAAGTCAGAACCATTCCCTCGACACAGCCACACAGACGCTCACACAGAAGCACTGAAGACCCTCTGTTTGCCCTAAGTAGAACTTGAACCTTTTATTTTCCAGGGGAAAGTAGATTCTGTAAGCTTTCTCTTTGCCCTCTGGCTTCCTGGTGGGATCAAGTCTACACTGCTACTCTAAATTGTTCAAATACTACCAGCGTACTGTCTAGTAGGATTTTCCCCCCAGTGTTTTGGACCAAGACTAAATTTCCTGAGACTTTAAATACCTAAGACAAATATAAAAACAAAAATCTGCCTACATACCCAGGCTGTTTTTCAGGAATGAGCCACGGAAACACATTCATATTTCTTATACCATGGCTTTCTTTTGAGAATTGACTCCCCAACCCCATTATCAGAAGGAAAACAATTCTAGTGGAAAATATGCACATTTTATTTCTGGACCTCATCCTTCAATGCTTAGCTTCAGAATAGTAGAAGGGTAGGTCCTTGATTAAAGATAAATTTGAAAAGCTATTTTTAAAAACCCTGGGCTTTTCTTTTTCATTTTACCTTTCCTTCAGAAAGCACTGAGGACTTAGCACTAAGTAGGTGATGTGAACTGCAGTGACCACTATCTACCAGACTGAAATGCCCTCGCCTGGGCCCTACTGGAACAGAAAATTTAGTGGTTCAAATGGAATTTGGTAATTCTTAAATACGTCAATGTAATGAGGAGCTACAACACCTCCAAAGTATAAACAGTTCTTTTAGAATCGTTGGGAACTCTCCCTTAAGACTCTTCAAACACTGGGTTTCTTCTCTTGAAGCTCGGTCTATATAATCTTTAACATAAATGAGTTAGATCATCCATATAAATGCAATTTTTTATTTACCTTTTAAAATATAATTTTAAAGCACAGGTTAATCCTATTACACCAACAACCTAGACAAGAATTCTTTGTCCTCAGCAAAAAAACCATAAAGGTTAATTAAGGTCCTAGATCCAACAACCTGTGACTGTTTTTGTAGCTCAGGCCTGGGGGCAGCTTATGATCTCGGGCCAGGGATGACATAGGATGAAAGGCAGCAGCAAGGGTTAATTGGGTTCCTCCTCTGTCCTCTTGGCACTTTGTTGGCAACAACAACAAAGAAGCCCAGAGTAGGTGGTCCCATTTCATGCCCCTTGAAAGCTAAGTTTGGAATGAGCACTAGCACACTGCCATCACGAACCACTGTGGGTTAAAAATACTTCAGTGATGTGGAGGGCTGGAAACCTCAACTAAAGGAGGATAACGTAGAATGACAGTTTTACTGTCATGAAATTAATGGTGGACTTCATCAATGTGCCCAAATGGGCAAAATTAGGTTCCTGCCCTAATGAAGCACTCTGAAGTACACTTCGGATTCAGGCAAAAAAAAAAAAAAAAAGAAGAAGAAGAAGAAGAAGAAGAAGAAAAAAAAACTATTATATAGATTGTGAGTTACTTTAAGGGAGATGGTCTTAAATCAAATAATCTGTTATAAAAACTAAAGTCCTTTAATGGAAAACTCTGTCCTGGACATTCATGCTCCCTGTCTACAGTTTGACCTCACCACACATTCCCTACCCCCCAAAGCATTACCTATACCCCAAAATAGTTTGGCTATTGTTAGGAGTCATACTGAGCTGTCACTGAAGGAATATCGTTCATAGCAACCAGGTATTCCCTTTTCATTCATTTTCTGATAAATAAAAAAACTGCAAAGTTCTTACAGTTCATGAAGCAACAAGTCTATGTTAAACTGTAGGGACACCAAAACCCACTAGCATTAGAGTAGGAGTTGTTGAAGACACTGGAACCTCAATTAGGCATCATGCACTAGAGTCAAGAAAAGAAATAATATGAAAACAAAATCTTCGTAAGTTCTGAGGTCCTGCACTTTGTTTTCATACTCTTTGATCAATCAGTTACAGGTCATCCTTGGCTGGACAGTCAAATCAAGTGCCTTTTACAATTTCAGCAGTTTTAAGTAGTAATATTAAAATAACTCATTAAGACCTAAAATGACTGTAACTTAACTTAAAAATCAAAATACTTATAATACAAACTATGTGATTTGAGGAAGAAGGATTTGATTTATAATATTTTCAGTTGGTCATTGGTCTAAACATTGGAAGCGTACAAATAAAGTTCAAGAACAATACTTATAAAACATTTAAAGAAATGCGATATACTAGAGATCATAAATTATGTGCAGAGACTGAGACTTATAGACATTTCCAGTATGTACAGCCATTTTCAAATATTACCAGAGTGTAAACATCACTTAAGATAATCATCCTCTATTTCCATTCCTAAAATGAATACAGAGCAAGACTTCCAGTGTGACCCAGATCACTTTTTTTCCCCCGAAGATAAGCAAAAATGGCAAAAAATTTACAACAGCAAGCACTAGTATTACCAGATTTTGACTAATTTAGTCTTTTAGTATTAGAAAAGATCTGCTGAATTTTGTAGTTCATGAATAGTGATTCCTTGTTTCTCAGGATAGTAATAAATAGCAAAGCACCACACATCTCAAATATTGATAGAGTATCCGGTATGGCAGTTTCATTATCATACAGCAAATGAAGATAGTCAGAAAGACATACATAGCGACTCCAATCATTGTAAAACACAATGTTACTTTATGTCAATGTTTCTGAGCATTCAATGAATGATCTATACTAGGGACAATAGGATCAAAGTAGAACAAACAATACTCTGTTACCAAAAAGGAAACAGGCCTTAAGGAGAGACAGGATTATAAGTTTTTAGTGTAGCCAATTCCAGATTTCAGATATTCAGGCAAGCAAAAAAAAAAAAAAAAAAAAAAAAAAAAAAAAAAAAAAAAAATATATATATATATATATATATATATATAAATTAATTAAAAAAAAAGCCACAATGTCCAAAATACAAGTTGGTGCTAGATGGGCAGGGCCCCCTTTACATTATCTGTTACCTGGAACCTTCAAAGGCCTTCCCCAAGCTCTCTGTATACAACCTGTCCAGTGTATGGCACAGACAAAGACCCCCCTACCATGTAGTAAAAGGAAGTAAAATACTAGCTGAAGATCTGTCTGGCCTCAACTCTCAATCTGCAACTCGTCCCTTCCCTTGGAAAATGGATGACCTCATTTTTACAGCCAACGCAGAACCGGAAACACGAGCATAAAAAGCAAAACAACAACAACAAACAATAACCGATCATTGGAAGTGTCTCAAGATGAGTTTATTTTCTCCTCCTTCTGCCCTAGTCTCTTCTGCTTGAATTAGTTGGATGAAATGCCGAAATCCTTCATATACTGGCTTTAAAATCAGCATAACTGTCTCCGCTGGTAGACTGTCTCCTGTGAACTCTCTTAAACAAACTTTACCTGTAACATGGAAATCGCTAAAGAATGAAAGAGAACGGCTCAGAAAAACCATTCAAAACATCTATAAAATCTGTCAGCTCTCCTTTACGGGAACATTCTGAGTGCTCAATAAAATTGCTTCTCTGGTTGAGTGTTACTCACATCTAAATTTTCTCTAACTGGTATTTCTATTTTTCTTAAAAGTACATTTGTTAAAACACTAACTGAGCCCACTTGGGAAATCTTAAGTAGAAAATATGTGACAAGTTCCTGATTGTGTCACAGTCAGGCTGAAGACTAGCCAGAATGTTCCCCATGAGAGGAAACCTGAAAATGTTGGTTTCCTTAAAAATCAATTTCCTGTTCAATTTGTTGGGGAATAAAGGAACTACATTATGTGCGTCTGTGTTGCTGAACTACTGAACACACAGCGGGAGCAAAGTAAACAATGGATCCCAACATCCTGGGGCTGTGTTAACCTCTGATTTTTTCCTTTGTTCGGCTCAATCTGGAGGACAAATGTTACCCTCAGAACCACGAGGTAATACCCACATCCACATTCTGAAGGCTTCTGCTTCCTTCTGGGGTTAGCAAATCATGAATTCTTTTCTCTCTTTCGGATGCCAGAAACAGAAGAGCTTGCTTGCTTTTTGCCACCGGATATAATTATACGGCCTGGCACCCGTGTTTCTACAGTGGGGTTGTCTCACTGTCCAGACACAAACAGTGTCCACATACTGGAGCAGATTCCGCAGCCCTGATCTCACAGTAGAGTGGGGCTCTTGGCCATGCAGATACAAGCCACTGCTCAGTTTCAGGATTCCCAGGCTGAAAAGTCATGGTGCTCCGAGACACACCACGCTTTTCCTCGGCAGGGTGACACCGATTCCCCCAGGGACACCACCCACCCAATGCAACACAAGAGGGTGGTAAGTAAGAGAAGAGAGAAACACAGCTATTTTGCATCTTTCACAAACGAGACCCTTGGTTTGGTAATAAACAAAGGTGGCTTGGGATTATTTCAGGAGGCGAAAATTAAAAGTGTATTCTATTATTGCAGAAAATGCAGGTATGCCACACGCGGTTCCCCACTCGGCTTAGAGCACATTACCCCTGCCATCAGTTCCTTCGTCCCCGGGAGGAGAGCAGGGCAGGAAGAGGGAGAGCTGTCTGGGAGGGGGTGTGCGTTACTGCTCGCCAGCACCCCCTGACACAGCGGTCATCTTTTCTGTCTTTTTAGACTTCCTCTGCATCTGCTCTTGCTCCTTCCTCCTCAGCTTTTCTCTTTGTTTTTCCATCTTCTCTTGAGCCTTCCGAGCCTTCTCGAGAGATACCTTCATTTCCTTGAGTTTTTTTTTGATCACGGCTCGGTCCTGGGATGACGTCATTCCCAGAGCCTAGGAAGGAAATACATAAACAAATTGAACTTGAAAACCAGTGACCTCTCTGCCTAGGAAGAGGCTGATATCACAATGTGTTCAGACTCAAAAACTGATTTAAACATAATCAAAGAGGTAAAAACCTAGAAAAAGCTGCTTACATTTGCCAAAAATCTCCACACTTAGGGGCTAAGCTTTATTTGCCCTTCGAAGTGCCTAGCACAGCACACCTTAAATCCTATTAAATACATGCTTGCCAAACTGGTAACTAATGGGTGAAGGAATTTTAAAAGGCAGGGGGGCACAATTCTGTTTCTCCAACCTTTGGGCCATAGACATTTATAGGCAAGAGTATCGCTAAACTTGTCAATATTTTTAAAAGCTAGGAGTGGGCACCTGCTGCCATAGAGGGCCCCAAGAAGGGTAGGGAGAACTGAAGTGGCTTCCTTTTTGCCAATGCAGTCACTTACAATGAGGACCAAAAATGTCTCTGGGGCCGGAATGTTCATGTCAGCATGACTAGCCATTCTCTCCCTGTAGGCAGACCTATAAAGGATTCCTGTTAATGAGGAGGTTGCTTAGTGAGCTTGGAATTCAGAATAAGGGGAGTTGGTCGCATACTCTAAATGTTTCCTGACCTTCAGAATCAACAGCGGGATGCATCCATCTCCCCAACAGGGACAGCCTTGTCAATGGGGCCTTCATAATCACAGACCATTGATTGATCTCTAACCTTTTCAAGACTGTCAGGAGATACTCATCTGCCCTTCAGCCCAACAGGGGGCTGAGGTTGGGGGTGGGGAGCCCAATGTAAGCTCTTTTTGCCCTTTTTCCACAGGGGTGGGTCCCCACCCGCCCCCCACAGTCTCTAAAAGGGATGGACTGGACAGGTGAAATGAGAGTGGGATGGAGCTGGGGAGACATGGCCTGCACGTACTTGGGGAAGAAAGTTCTGAGGAGACTATCATCCCACTTTTGGAGAGGTGTGCAGGGAGGAGCAGGGGTGGAGAAGAAATGAATAAAGAAGGAAAGATTCATGGATCTAGGTCTTCACTCTTATGTGATGAGAGAGTCCACATTGGCCATTATTACAACTCCTACCACACAGGAAGTCAACAGACTTCTTTCGTGGACCACATGTCTGGGTAGAAGCAATGGAGTGAGGCCCTAGCTCTCCTACTCAGCAGCATCCTGTTTGATTCAGAATCTCTGACAGAATTTCCGAAACTTCGTTTACTGCTCAGAAATGATGCAATGTCCTTTCTGCCGACCATTGATGAGAATTCCCTCTCAGATAGGCAGGACACTCTTGTCTCATGGAAACATTTCAGGTGCCATGAGCAACACAACTGACACCTGGTAACCTCACACAGAGATAGAATTCTTTACCTTAAGTTTATTTCCATCCAACTGCAGGAGTTGCTCTCCAGTGACGTTTTGGGCACTGAATTCAGATACATACTGCTCCAGGTTTAGGCTCATTAGCCAGTGGGAAACCTGCTGCACGCTCCATTCATGGACCGCCCGACTCTGACACTGACTGTGTTTGGGAGACTGTCCATCATCAAGGATCTGAGGTAGGAATGTTATGCAGGGTTGTTAAAGGACCAAAAAGCTACGGCTCGCCACGGCCTATTATGCTATCAAAAGGAATTTCTTGCCTACTAGAGCCACATTTATCTTTACGCCATCAAATGAATAATAAGTTAATGGTTGTAGTTGTGTGTGTATCACACATGCATAGTTATCACCTATATATTTTTTTAGGTATTTGGAAATTTAAAAATTCCCCCAGATAAAGCAGCATTATTAACGTAGGATGTTTACTACTGGAAAATACACTCCAATGTTGCAAGCCTTTACATTAGAACACTTTGGAAAGAGTATGAGATGCGGAAAACAAGTATTTGATTCATCTCTATATGCAATGCATCACTCTGCATGTAGCCTTGGAGAAGACATTAGAGGTCTATAAAAATACATGTATAAATCTTGAGGTATCTTCCCCTCAGAAGAGGAAAGCCTTAAGTCCTCAAGCATTGTGAGGGGAAATTTCACAGCCAGGGTTTCATTCGAGCAGCAAGCAAACCCGTGAGGAAGGCGGGGCAGGTAATGTCCATAATGACTTTTAATAAATGAGTCAAGTGAGGCTCAGCCCGGAGCAGGGGTACGGGAGAGCTCAACGGTCTGTGGTTCATTCCAAATGTCTGGCTCCGTCCAGGGCACAGCACCACTTTGGACAGCACAGAGGGCAGCTTGGTTCCTAGAACCTCTAAGCTGAGAGGCGATGAAGGCAATGACAGGTCTGGGGGGAGAGACAGGAGTCACCTCGGGGAACACTGACGAGGGGATGGGGTAAGCCGAGATGACGCAGAGGGGGTGGAACAGAATGGACCGTGTCAAGGTAGTGGTGATGGGGGGATTGACCGAGGGATTCCGCAGGTAGGACCTGATGATCCTCTTGCCTCAGAAACATCACTTCAACTTAGGGATAGATGAGGGCAGAGAACAAAATGATTTCACACACGGAAACCCTCCGGGGCAGACACAAGTGTTCTTGTACTGTTTAGGTTTCAAATCATTTTGCGGAGAGAGAAGAGGAGGTTCAAACAATACCAGAAGCCCCACACGCAGCCCACTGATAGCTCACCTCGTCATCTATCATATCCAGGCTCTGAGTGAGGGAGCAACAAAGGAATCAAAAAGAAAAGTGTTATAGAACTAGGAGACACAACATACACAGTACAAAGATTTAAAATTAAAATCACACCAGGCCTCAAGAGGACGGGCAGAAAAATTTAGGAGACAAAAAGTTTTATAAAGCAAAAATCATGTTAGAAAGAAGTAACTTTGAGCAAATATGTGAAGCAATGGTATCTTTATTTACACGGCCTCTCCTCCTCCCACCCCCTACCCTCCATAGTGGCATTTCTGTCCTCTCCTCATCTTTTGGGACACTAAGTCCATCAGTCATGTAATTTCCTATTTCTCTGGAAACACATTGATCTTCTGGGAATTCTTGGCAATGCTAACTTGACCCTGGCTTCTAAATCAGTTTTTCTCCCCTCTCCACTGCAGTGATTGTCAATCAGGGGTGACGCTCAACTTGGGGTAGGTGTGATGGTGGGGGTAGGGGTAGGGGGTAAGGGTGATGGTTGGGGGGTGAGGGAGAGAGGGAATGGATGGTCTGAGCCACTCCCTATTCTTGCTCTCTGGTGCCAAGCCTCCCACACCCACCCCCTTGCTCAAAGTCCTCTCAGTGAAGTCAGAGTAATGCAGAGGAGATCCCTGGAGAGCTTTCAGTGGACTCAGAAATAATACTTTGCCTTCATGTTGAGAGAGAGAGAAATCATGAAGATTTCACATCAAACAAGAAAACACGGTCCCCATGATTTACACGCAAAATCTACGTTTTCTCGGGGATCGGTGACGGGTACAATGGATGATCTGAGAAGGTGGGTCTGCGTTAGCGCCTCGAGCGTACCTCATCTGATGACAGCGCTAAGGACTGAGAGAGCCCAGGTGTTTTGGGTTCCGCTCCCAGGCCACTGAGGTCTGCCGAACTGGTACTGCTGGGACTGAAGTCATCGTTGAAGGTAAAATTCTGTGAAAGTAAATGAAGCTCAGTGTTAAGTGGGCACAGTGAGAGAACCAGTAGTAGGTGTATCTGCAAGTCCTACAAAGGTTCTCTTTAAGTCATCTTCGGAGAAATTCACATTTGGTTTGGTGATGACCTTCAAGCGGCGGTGGTGGAGGGTACCGTGCCTTTTGCAACTGATGGGGAATTCTGGGCGCTTTCTCCATCAGATGAAAGGATAGGTGTTTTGGAGCAATCATTCTTCAATCCCTCTTCAAGGGTACAGCCTTCATTATCCTCTGCAACTGCTCAGAGGAGTAACATTAATAAGCCTATCTTCTTTGACCCTACTCGCAATGAGTAACAGTACAAGTAAAAATACAAGATGGTGTGGAGAGCCTGAGTTATTAGGAACAGATGGCCATCCATATTAGAAAGGTAGCTCGAGCACCCCCTGGGAAGGATCGCTTGCCGTGATAAATACTGTGAGAAAAGGCAGATCGTCCCCTGGATATAACCTTCAAGATGATGAGTTCTGGGGGAGGTCAGAGTCTGACAATACACTCGTAGTTACATGCTAAAATACGACTCTCCCACAGCACCTGCAGAGCTCCGAAGAGGCTGCAGAACAGATACACTCTCCCAATAATCACCTGGGGCCAGTGGAGTTGGGGGGGGGGGGGGGGGGTGTAAAAAAAAAAAAAAGAAAGAAAGAAAAGAATAAAAGAACTTCCCCAGAACTTCATCAAAATGTTCAGTGGCTACTCAAGTCAAGTAAATTCAGAATGACCACATGGCTGCACTTGTGAAAATATTTTTTAAACCAAATCTGGAGTTCCTCCAGGACAAGCTAATGGTGGAATTATTCAAACTACGTTTAGATTTCTCAGGTCCAATACCGCAAATGTTTCAAGATCCAAGTGGTCTAGTAGTGCCAAAACTTCTTTTGCTAGTAATTCTAGAATGACTGGCTTCCGAGGAACTCTAAGCCCTTGGCCAACACCATCTTGTTCCATATTCTGCTTCCTTAGGAACTGGCCCGTTAGTTTTCCATTAGGCTCCCTGGCCACTGGGTTCTGTCGGTTGTCAAAAATAACTACCGTGCCAGAGGCTGCAGAATTCAGTTCCAAACAAACCCCAAGTTTTGCTCAAACTTCCGACATGGAGACTAAATCCGAGCTCACGGAGCTAGGCTAGGAGAACATGTAAACAGGAGAGCATTGAACACAACACATTACTATTTGATATGTCAACAGACACACAACCCACAGTCCTGTCAAGACCTTGTGAGCTGCCGACCTCAAGAAAAGAGTTAAATTCAAGTCACATTAATCACACATTTCTGCTTGAGAAAGAAAAGCGAACACAGATAAAAGGAGACCAAACAACATGTGAAAGTTAGCCACTGTATGTGTTCCAATAAAATGTTAGATAAGGTTTGCAGCGTCATGCTGGAAATAACCATCATGCGTTTAAAAACAAACAATACCCATGCAATTATATTTTCTATTTCTGCTCAAGTTAGAGAACTTTGGTGATGAGATTGTAAGTTTTTCAAGGTGGAAGTTTGATTTAAAAAGGAGAGATAAGTAAGGGTGCTATGTCAGCACTGATTTGTTTTAAAGAGTTTCACTTAGATATATTGAACACATATTCAGTCCCAAATTTATTTGTTTTCCAGTAAATCTCGAAGAGCACAGTAAAAATAGTCTTGTAATGTAATTTAAAGTGGAACGCTTGGTAAACAGATCTATCATACTGTTCCATGATTCAAATGCATCTTTCCCAGCATGGCTTAACTGTCAAACTGAGATTTAATAGCAATATGTGAAAAGACAGGCAAATCAAAGATTAACGTACAATCTAGAATGGAACAGCATTAAGGAAGGTGATGGTTAAACGAGGCTTTCCTTTTCCCCCACACAAGAAATACCATGCATGGTTTACTGGAGTGTTATCACATTGGTTTCTCAGGTCCAGAGCAAACACACAAGTTGAGAATCCTTTCCAAAGACTGGAGAGGAGGAAGGATTTGGGGTTTTCTTGTTTGCTTTTTAAATCCATGTGTTTTCTACCTTGGACCCCTTTTTATCTGAAATTAGAGTTTCAGGAGAAGGCTGAAGGGGACTTGTAGGTGAAGGCAGGTCCCTGAAGGAATAGGATCCTTTTCGGCTCTCATTAAACCACGAGAAAGGGATGCACGGCGAGCGGGTGGAGGCCTGAGGCGCGGGGGACGGCTTGGGTTTCCAGTGTTCCAGCCTGCTTCTGAAGATCCTGTGTTACGGGGGAAAAAATGCGCATGTCAGACAAAGGAAGGGCAGGTGTGACACTCGTTGAACGGAATCCTGAAGGGACTCTGAATAAAGTTCAAAGTAGCAGTTTGACAAATTGTTCTACACGGGAGAGGAACAATTTTGCAATTTTGACGAGGACATTAATCTTAGTAGCTATCTTTTTTGCATCAAAATGGATTCTAGAATAATGGTCAACATTTTCATATCGCTACTGCCACAGTGAATTCTTATGAAGTGTTTCTATTAAGTGGATGTGGCTGAACTGAAGTCACAGGGCACGGTCTTTCTGGAACTGCTATTAGGTTAACCATCACGTCATTTCCCTTATTTGGGTGACCGAGCAGTGCCTCACTGCCAGTGACATTAGCTCTCAGCCAGCATTCTTTCCTTGCCTTCTCTGAACTCATGCTTCCAAGAGTCTGGGACTTTAGAAGATGTATTTAAATAATTTGGAAATTTTAGGGCTTATGAAAGTTTAAGCAGAACACACGCCTTATTGGTTTTTCATCACAATCGGAGTGCTAGCCAGCCACATTAGCCAAATCGACCCAGGCATCGATAGAGTGACAGATGTCACAGCCAACAGCTCTCACACCCCTTAGGAGGAAACCAGACCACAAGTCTTAACACTCTGTTTGGAGGTCCAGGATCTGTTATCTCTTGAGTACGGGGCCTTGAGCCTTCTTTCAGCCTCTATTTCTCCTCTGTAAAAGATGGATATTTTATGTAGCTCCTATGTGGTTGTTAGGAATCAAATGAGGTAATACGTGTGAAAGTACCCGGGAAACTGCGAAAGTATAAAGGCCTAAGGTTATTGTTTAACATTTAAAGGATTCAAAGGTATTTGAGAAACACAGTATATACTTGTGTATACTTGTGTGTTTGTATTTTTCTTCTGGTTAGAGAAAAAGAATCAGCAAGAGCTGAGGCAGGAATGAGTGGTAGTTTCTGTGCATCTGGGAAGAGGTCAACCCTCAATCTGTCCAAATGAGTTTGACACATGCCTATTATTTGTTGGGTGTTGATGTCACGACAACAGAGATTCCCTCTCAGTGAAAAGTGCCTCCACACCACAGCCAGACCGCACATGACCCATGTGCATACAGGACTTCAGTCTTCTCACATCTCACTCCAAGTACTCTGAAATATTTTTTACTTCAAATATTTCAAAATATATTTCAAATTTACATAAACAGTGCAGCTCCCAATAGTTCCTCTTCTTTCCAAAGTTATTGTGAGACTCAAAGGGAACAATAAATGTGAAAACATCTTGTTAATTTACAAAGGTAAAGAGATTATAAAAATAGTGACTAAAGAGAACGGAGATGCCAGTGAGGTTTTGGTAGAACACTGAGATCATAAGCTGGGTGACTATCATGATTGCTCACTTAAAGATTCCAGAATATCTGATGATTATAATGGCGAATTCCTTCAAAAAAAAAAAATCAATAAAGGGGACTGTAAGGATAATGGAGAAAGCCCAATGAGAGATGTGTCAACCTTCAGTCTCATCCTAAAGTTTAAACCAAAAAAATTCTGTATCCCAAAGTCTAGTTACTTGCTGTTAAAAGACGGGGTAGGGATTGGGTACAATAACCAAACTTAAGAAACCATGGCAGCAGAGGCAGACTGGTCTTCTGGAAGAAGCGGTTTCTATTCCTCAGTCGTAGACCAGTGTGGTGTTTCCCAAACAAGCCTGACAGGAATCACCTGGGGCAGCTACTCAAATACAGATTCCTGGGCACCTAGACTTACTGAATTAGACTCTGGGAGACAGGAAGGGAAGAGTTTGCCTGGAATCTGCATGTTAACAAATGTCTGAGTTGACTCTTGAAGTTTTTAGTATCTACATTTATTTCTATTTTCCTGAATGCAAATATGAGGTTCCTGGAGAAGAGGTGACTATTTACAGAAAATTACTGCGCTGGGTCCCCATGCCCTACTTTCTTCTCTCCAGAGTGACAGAATGAAAGCCAGCTGTCATCCTATACTTGGTCTACATTGTTGGTGAGGAATCTTAAAAAATACCCATCTGGATGCTAAGATAGGACAGGGACAGTAGTGCTGTCCCCACCTCCCTTCTGGGAAAGGGAGAGACATCTTATCTTCTTCATGTAAACAAACTCAACTAAGGAAGGATCTTCGGTTCTTACCCTTCAGAAAGTAACACATGTCTTAGGGGGAGATAAGACCAGCATCTCCAGCCTAACAAGTCTGGGAATGTCTCCATGAAGCTGGATCTCATCCCCTCGCCCCAGCCCACTCCTTGAATATGAAACCACACACCTCATGGGAGGTTAATCTCTGCAGTTCTCGCTATCTTTCCAGTCATACTTTAGCTTCTAAGGCTTGACTTTTAAGCTCAGGTTCCCCAGTCCAGTAAAAATACTCAGAAAGCTCTAACTGTGCAGATCCATAAAAATATTTTTTCTGCAGTCCCACAGTCTTCTAACTGGGCATGCTTGAGATAAACTGGACCTAAGGATTATTTCCCCCTTTGGTTATACATTTCTGAATCAGTTACTCAAAGGAGTATGGGAGTTTTTTTTTAAGAGTTCCATCCACGATTCAAAAAGGTACAGTAGTGCTTAAATATATGGATATTGTTTTAAAGTTGGTAAACAGGCCATAATTAATGACAGCATGACTCTCTTGTCCTGCTCCCAAGTGAACTTTGTAACAACACTTTTGGGACAATCACCACCATCCCTATCTTTTTTTTAATTAGACGGG